AGTACATTCATAATGTTTAAAATTGATGACCACCACTTGTCTGTCAGTTTATTGTACTGCGGTGGCTTGCGTGTTGCTGTGATGCTGGATGATATGCTATCAGAATTTCAAATACCAGCAAATCACCCATGGTAACAGGTTTCAGTGGAGCTTCCAGACTAAGACAGTTTAGGAAGAAGAACATGGTGGTCTACTTCTTAAAAACTGGCCAGTAAAAACCTTATGAATAGCAGTGGAACACTGTTTAGTGTAGTGCCAGAAGATGAGACCCTCAGGTTGGAAGGCACTCAAAATACAACTGCGTAATAGCTGCCCCTTCAAAGTAGAGTGGACCTTAATGACATAGATGGAGTCAAGTTTCAAAGCCTTCATTTGCTGATGTGGAATGACTCAATATGAGAAGAAACAGCTGCAAACATCCATTAATAATTGGAACATGAAATGTACAAAATATGAATCTAGGAAAATTGGAAGTCATCAACAATGAAATGGAATGCATAAAGATGGATATCCTAGGCATTAGTGAGCTGAAATGGGCTGGTATTGGCCATTTTGAATCAGACAGTCATATGGTTTACTATGATGGGAATGACAAATCGAAGAGGAATGGCATCACATTCATAGTCAAAAAGAACATTTCAAGATCAATCCTGAAGTATAATACTGTCAGTGATAATATCCATATGCCTACAAGGAAGGCCCATTAATACGACTGTTATTCAAATTTACACAACAACCACAAATGCCAAAGATGAAGAAGTTGAAGATGTTTAACAACTTCTGCAGTCTGAAATTAAACATGCAATCAAAATACACTGATAATTATTGGTGATTGGAATGCAAAAGTTGGAAACAAGAAGGATCAGGAGTTGGAAAATATGGCCTTGGTGATAGAAATTATGCTGGAGATCACGTAATAGAATTTTGCAAGACCAACGACTTATAAACGACAACTATACACATGGAAGACAGCCCTGGTGACACAGTGGTTAAAGCACTCAGCTGCTAACCAGTAGGTCAGTGGTTCGAACCCACCTTTCTTAGTGGGAGAAAGATGTGGCAGTCTGCTTCTGTAAAGATTTACAACCTTGGAAACTCTATGGGGCAGTTCTACTCTATCCTATAAGGTTGCTATGAGTCAGAATCAACTTGACAGCAGTGGGGTTTTTTGGTATACGCATGGACCTCGCTGGATGGAATACACAGAAATCAAATCTACTACATCTGTGGAAAGAGACTATGGAGAAGCTCAACATCATCCATCAGAACAGGGCCAGGGGCTGACGGTGGAACAGACTCTTAATTGCTCATATGCAAGTTCAAGTTGAAGCTGTAATAAAACAAACCCATGAGAGCCAAAGTATGACCCTGAGTGTATCCCACCTGGATTTACAGACCATCTCAAGAATAAATTCGATGCATTGGACACTAATGACCAAAGACCAGATGAGTTGTGGGATGACATCAAGGACATCATACATGAAGAAACCAAAAGGTCATTAAAGGTCATTAAAAAGACATAAAAGAAAAAAAAAAAAAAGACCAAAATGGATGTCAGAAGAAGACTCTGAAACCTGCTCTTGAATGTAGAGTAGCTAAAGCAAATGGAAGAAATGATGAAGTAAAAGAGCTGAATAGAAGATTTCAAAGGGCAGCTCGAGAAGAAAAACTAAAGTATATAATGAAATTTGCAAAGACCTGGAATTAGAAAACCAAAAGAGAAGAACACGCTCAGCATTTCTTAAGCTAAAAGAACTGAAGAAAAAATTCCAGCCTCAAATTGCTAATATTGAAGGATTCATGGGAAAAATATTGAATGACACAGGAAGCATCAAAAAAAGATGGAAGGAATACACAGAGTCACTACACCAAAAAGAAACGATTGACATTCCATTTCAGGAAGTAGCATGATCAAGAACCAATGGTATTGAAGGAAGAAATCCAAGCTGCACTGAAGTCATTGCCGAAAAACAAGGCTGTAGGAATTGACGGAATACCAACTGAGATGTTTCAACAAATGGATGCAGCGCTGGAAGTGCTCACTTGTCTATGCTAAGAAATATGGAAGACAGCTACCTGGCCAACTGCCCAGTAGGGATCCATATTTATGCCTATTCCAAACAAAGGTGATCCCACTTCATGTGGAAATTATCGAACAATGTCATTAATATCAGATGCAAGTAAAATTTTGCTGAAGATAATTCAAAAACAGTTGCAGCAGTACATTGACAGGGAACTGCCAGAAATTCAAGCCAGATTCAGATGAGGATGTGGAACTAGGGATATCATTGCTGATGTCAGATGGATCTTGGCTAAAAGCTGAGAATACCAGAAAGATGTTTACCTGTATTTTACTGACTATGCAAAGGCACTTGACTGTGTGGATCATAACAAATTATGGGTAACACTGTGAAGAACGGGAATTCCAGAACAGTTAATGGTGCTCAAGCAGAACCTGTACATAGACAAAGAGGCAGTCGCTTGAACAAAACAAGGGGATACTGAGTGGCTTAAAATAAAGAAAGGTGTGTATCACTGTTGTATCCTTTCACCATACTTATTCAATCTGTATGCTGAGTAAAAATCCAAAAAGCTGGACTATATGAAGAAGAATGTGGCATCAAGATTGGAGGAAGACTCATTAACAACCTTGTTTGCTGAAAGTGAAGAGAACTTGAAGCACTTACTGATGAAGATCAAAGACTACAGCCTTCAGT